GCAACACATAGATAAGGTCAATGCTGCCCTTTAATTGCAGCCCGAAAGAATTCACTCGAGGCTTCTCCGTTCGCAAAACGCATTTATCCATCACTTGCAACATTCATAAATCAAATACCAAGAAAAGACGCCAATTAATTCTTCCTTTTCACACCAAGTAAACAAAACCTCTTGTAGCGACGATACTTTAACAGCTTTTTATCTTTGTAAATATTACTCACAACCCACCTAGTGAATCTATTTGGGGAATACTGGCCAAATAATTCGATCCCTTATTCTGTTTAGATGCTCGGAAAAAAACACTCCCTGTTTCGTGAGAAAAGTCTAAGCATAAAACAATAAATACAATAAGCTTTTAACTGCCAAAAATATATATCCACTACACTAGTCACAGAAAATTTGAGTTAAACAAAAACATAATAGTAATTAATTAAAATACAGTAACACAATTAAAATTTTCACACAATGGTTTTTGATCGATAGCTTTATTATAATTTGTTTAATGTAGTTTAATTACATTAGCTTACAAAATGTTTCGACCTTGACCTTCAAAAGTTTCAAATGCTAACCTTTTTATTGATTTAATACTTTAAATCTTTAAGGTAACTTCCCAAGCATTCCAGGAACATGATTTTTAACTGTCACTAAAAACCAAACTTTAAACAAATGGCTTAACTGTTTTAAGAAATTTTCTTCAAACATAATAGTCAAGATGAAGATGTACTAACAACAGCTCAGAATTTAACTTGCTTTCAGTGTCTTTAGTTTTCACCATCCTTATTGTAAATTTAATCTAAATACCTAAACCGTAATTTCTGAAAACTCTGTATGTAATTTCTGTAATGTAATGAATTTTAGAAATCAAAATTGATTTTTTCTCCTAAAATGCATGACGAGTTAAAAATGCTAAATAGATAGCACAATGAAAATGAATTTTTTTAAATGGTTGCAAATCCTTGAAAGCTATATTTTATCATTTAAATATATTTCAAATTAAAAGGGTTAAAAGTGATTAAAATTTAGGTAACTTTCACGAGATAATTTTCCTTCTAATTCTTGATAGTCGACGTATGCTTATCAGTCGACGTATGCAAGATTTTTCGAAAACGAATGGTGGGATTTCACGACGGTTTTCTGAAGTGTATATAACATAAAATGGACTGAAAGTACTTTTAACTCAGTTGCCCAAAACGATTATGTGCACGTATAATGGAGCCAAATTACAAGTATATTATTACAGTAGCCAAATTTGGGCCTCTGAAAATCCTTAAGCGTCACATAAACAGAGCCAAGATTGTGTTAATGTCACTATATGTGGCTACCTCCTCAAATAGCACAAACTGAAGATGTTGATCTAAGTATCTTCTTTCTACAAATTCAAGCACAGGTTCACTTTTGTGGATCACATGCAGCATGAGTTAAACCATGAATTTGTGGAAATGGACCTATTCCCATGATTCTTAAGTCACTATCGTAACTGAAAGGATTTCCCCTGTAAGAAATTGTTAAAAATGAATTTTCAGATGAAATAGATGGTCCTCTAGAGAACTCTAGAGAGAAAATCACATAAGCAAATGCAAGCTTTTCATTAAATGTTCTTTCCAGAGTATGGACAGAAACTGATTATTTTTTTGCTGTAACATCTGTTGTATTGTTAATGAAACACATATTGAAATGCGATAATTTAGCAAAGAAGCTATGTGTGTAATGAAATTAAATAAAAGCACTTTCGGTCCATTTCAGTTATGCATGCTTCTTAGAGATCTCAAGAAACCCCACCAATCATTCTCTCAAACCCCTGTGTTCGGCAATTTATATTTCAAATGACCAGTTATATCTAGATTAAAAACGGATGAGTGTATAAAGTTTTAGAATTAAAATCTTTTATTCTAATGGCGATATTTTTGTCATAAAATGTAGTGATTGCTTATCTCAGAACGTTATTGTTGTTAAATCATTCCAAATCTTCTAGCAACAGTTTATAATAATAAACAATATAAATTATTTCTTGCTAATTTATTATGTGCAATTTTATAAAAATTGCAGGAAACGTTAAATGTTTCTAAAATAATCTGATCATTATTAATGAGTTTAGAAGATTTCTTTGCCATATTGTTAAGTAAATTAAGTAAACATATTTGCTTGTATATTATTGTAAAAATCTGCTGTATTGACTAAAAATCTGCTTGTTTATTATTATCCTCTACCTGATTGCTTGAAATGGATTTGTTTTGAAAACTATGAGTGTTTTCTCAAAGTTATATTATTCATTTATATGAAAGGGCATAAAACTAATATGTTGATTTAATGGCACTTGTTTACTGTATTAATAGTTTAAGCAACTTTCAAATTTTAACTGAAATGTATTTTTAAACTATTAAAAATTCTTCAGTAAAATTAGTTTTCAGAATGTTTCGATATCTGATTTATAAAAGGATATAGTATGTATAAAAGAACACTTCAAGAGAATATCTTATTTTAACATGCAATATATAGGAAGAAAAATCTTAAGCACTGCTGTTAGCTATAGTTTGAATTAAAAAAAATTGTGAACTATACTCAAATACTTGAAGAAACGTTGTTTACGACCAAACATTTAGCTAAAGGGTTATATAATAAATTAAAAAGCAATCAACGAAATGATTCTAATTTAGCATTAGGAATGTCTTCAGCTCATATTTCCTAGACTTTTGGAATGCTGTGCTATGTTACATTGCAATGCGTTTATGATAAATTTGACTTTGCAGTTGTCGTCTTTTGCAAAGCTTAAGACCTTTTAATTCCATACAGCCTATCTTTCCCTGTTCTCAGAGTGATGTCCTTTAATAAAATATGAGATCCTTTAACTTTCATGTGTAATTAATCTGTGATTACTTAATTAATTCTACAGTAAAAGTAGTTTTAGAACGTTTCTATATTATATCTCAGAACGTTTCTCTATAAGTTAGAAGTTAATAGACAAAAAATACGCATTTTAAAAGTTTAATATTTTATCAATCTATCTAATTAATTTAATTTGAAATATATTTATTGTATAACATTTAAATGATATAACCATTTACTGCAATGAAAATATTTTCTAGGGATTATACGAGTATATTTGCACAAATGAAATAATACGGAAGTCAGGTTTGGTAAATGTGGCAAACGCGTACGGATATGAAATTTTTGTATTTTATGTTTCGTCTTAAGTACAATATTTGTTGTTTTTTTAATGCATTTGCAGATGAAACGAAATAATGTACTTTGATTTTTAAAATATATATAGAGAGAGGAAAAGTGAACACATAATATGTTAGATTTCACAATTTTTGCAAAAAATTATTTATAGACTTTTAAAATGCCAGAATATGGATAACTGTGTTATTAAAAAATTATATTTGGAAGTGGATGCCTACTACTAACGGTAGCGAAAATAAAGGTTGAGTAAGGATGTTTGGGGGACAAGGCGAGTGCATGTATACATACAATTTAATTTAGAATACATACAATTTAATTTTTAAATGTATTATTATTTTCTGTGCTTATATTTCATAGTGTGTAAAGCCACATTTAGAAGTAGTTCTTTGACATTATAAGACTACTAGAAAAATAATTTCGCAAACAACAAAATTAATTTAAATTGCTAGTCATGTAATGTCGAGAAGAACAAAACATCTTATTCAGCTCTCATTAATCGTTCTGGTTTAATGTTTTAAATACTAACCCCTTGAAATTTCTCTTCGAAAGATTGAAGAACGGATGATTAGTATTTCTTTTGTTTTCTTTATACTTTTTTATTAGGCTTTAATTTAATTTTACACAATTTCTTCCCTTTTTTTTCGCTTTCACAACAAAAGTTTGGTTATTTCTTACGCTTTAAAAAATTTTCACCGCTAGTTTACAGATAAAGTTTATAGGATAATCTATTAAAAATAATAAAATAAAACTTATACATATAGTATATATGTTATATATTAATTTATATATTATAAAACATATTTTATATATAAATATACATCTATAACGTATCAAACGCAAAAATTTGTAATTTTATTTTAAATATTATTAGAGGAATTTAAAAATCTGAATTTTTGTGGGAACTAGTCGCTTCTACAGCCAAAACCTTTAAATAGTTATCATAAGAATGAAAACACACGTAGCGATTTTAATGATTCCAAGTAGTATTATTTTATAAAAATATTTTATACTTTTTTTTAACCGTCTCATGATTAATTTGCATTTTCATTTAAATCAACCCAATTAAAAAGAAGAAAAAATATGATAGAGAACTGTTTTTATTGATCTTCAGTCACTTGATTTGTTATTCAGTAACAGGTAAATTAAATTTGGAAGTTAAACGACTTCTGTTTTACTGAATTTCAACACACTGGGGAAGGAAAAATAGATATATTTTATTTCAGGAAGTGGTAACACATTGTTTTTAAATAGCCAAGAAAATGTATAGATACATGCGCACAGTTTCTTCATTATATAATAATAAAAAAAGGAGATATAAAAAAAATAAGCTGCACCTGAAAACAATGTTTTACTTTTTATATAAATTTCTTTTAGAATGAATTTTATTAATTAAAGATCTTAAATGGGGTGCTTCAAATAAAAAGTATATCTTCTCAAATGCTCATTGATATATGTAAGTATTTTACGAGTGGAATAGTATACATCAATAACTATGATTCTGGTTTTAAATTATTTACGTTTAATAAGAACCAGCATAATCACTTTTCGTTTTCAAATTACTGCAGACAAAATAAAAAAGTTATCATTCTTGAAGCGAATAAAGGATTTGAGAAGTATTTATTTAAAAAATATTACTAGAGCAGTTACCACAAATATGCGCTTAAACGCGTTTAACAGCTTGATGCTAAAATATTACATATTTTAAGAAATTGTATATGCTATAAAATATTCTAATAAAAATGATTTATGTACAGTTCATTTGCTTAATATCTATCTGGATCATTCAGATAAAAGAAACCATTGTAAAAATTTTAACGTACCAAATCATCTTGGAGAGCTGACTCGTAAGAAATTCAGCAGAATGAAGGAAAAATTGTTAAGACCTTCATATATATTAAAGAATTGTTTATGCACCTGTTCTTAAAACTACTGTTTTATCATAAATGCCAGTGAAAGTTATGTAAGAAGCATTTTTTCTCTGTCACGTAGAACAGCTGAAGATGTTTGATGAACTCGTTTAAAGAAATCTTGCGCAATGAATAATATGGAACCTATAATAAATATCCAACTCAAATGGATAAATCTGTCTGTTAATTGTATTTATTACTCACTGTCAGAGAAATAAGAATCTCACTCTGACACTATTAGCCAGAGTCTTAATGGAATTATAACGTGCTGTAGGATGTCATAACTATATACAGGGTGATTCTAAATTGTTTTTACAAATTAAGAGGGGTGATAGTACTCATCCAGCTGAGCTATAATTACCAAAGAACATAGGGTCGCATTCCTCTCTGAAAGGCAGAAAAGAGGAATATTAGAATTTCAACCTGAACTTACAACAAGGTTGAGAAAGCGAATGAACGAGACCAAAATTTGCACGATCAGTTTAGTGAAAGAGTATGCACAAAACGGATAAAGCAGAAAACTTGGCGTTAGAGTGTTAATTCGAGCTCAGACTTTGATGGCAATCACTCAAATGCACATCTTTGGTTGGCAAGGTCTCAACCTCGCAAACGATTGCAAAAAGTTAATTATCTAAATGATTAGGGAGGAACTGCTACCTCAGATATCAAGTATAAAGGTAGCAGTTTTTTTCTCCTTTGCCATCTTCTATCCTGTCCTCATGGACTTACTGTACTGCGCTCATTCTACTAGAAGCGCCCTTCTACGGGACGAAGTTCTGACAGCCGGAACACAGCATGAACTTGTCATGTTAATCTCGGCATACAGCTGAAGTTGGAGTTAGTTGACAATATTTCAACCATTGATTGGATAATTAACTTGTTGCAATCGTTTGCGAGGTTGACACATTGCCAACCAAAGATGTGCATTTGAGTGTTTGCCATTGCCAAATTAACGCTCGAAAGCCAGGTTTTCGGTTTATCCGTTTTGTGCACTCTTTGTGAGTTTTTCGCTAAACTGATTGTGCAGCTTGTGGTCTCGTTTATTCGCTTTCCCAATACTGTTGTAAGTTCAGGTTGGAGTTCTAATATTCCTCTTTTCTGCCCCCCCAGAGTGGAATGCGATCGTATGTTCTATGGTAATTATTCCTCATCTGGATGAGTACTATTCCCCCTCTTAATTTGTAAAAACGATTTAGAATCACCCTGTATATAGTTATGACATCCTACAGCACTGAACTGAACTATTTAGAACTGAACTTTCGAATAAACCTGCTTTAATCAGCTTCTGTGACGAGTATGCATTTCCAGCAAGGAGGCTAAACGAAGTCTTATGGAGAAAAGAGTCGGTAATTAAAATAAGATTAGATAGAAAATTAAGTTTGATTATTTTATAAACGCAGTAGTGCAAGAATGTAGTCAAAAGCTTTTGCCGCATCAAGTAAGACCTCCCTTGTGGGCAGTTCTCTCTTGAAGCCTTCAGTAATCGTATTGATGACGTGAAGGAGCTGTTGTGAAGTGTTATATTTTGCCTTAAATCCAAACTGCTCTTGTGTCAGACAAGAAGAATGTGGAATAGTGGTTAAATGTAGTGTATTATGACTTTTTCTACAATTTTATGAAGCAGCTAAGCTAAGGAATGGGTGAATTCATTAGCTTCATTAGCTTCAGGGTAAAGTTCTATTTTGATTTGATTTAAGAAAAGTAATTATCATCACATATGACTAGCAATTAGTGAAGTGACAGTGTTTCATAAGAGATTTAGTAATACTTGTAAAGCAAGTGATACCTTTTTAGGGCATTTTTTTCAAAAGCTAGATTTTTATATTATCTTGCTCAATAGAAACATGAATTTTAAGTATCCTGATAAAAATAAGGTAAGAGAAGAAAGGAAAAAATCTATTCGTAAAAAGAGTGCATTGCGAACTGCTTTCTTAACATATGTCAATAAATTATTATAGTAAGATGTTGGATTATGCTGAAATGCTGTTTCTAGGTTGTCTACAAGTGAATTAGCTTTTTATTCATCTCTGTAGGCCCGAGCGGAATTCAAGTGTAATCAACCTTATCCTTCAAATTTAACCAGCAAACAGGAACTGAGCTATTTAAAAGTAATGTGTTCCCATTGTCTGAAGGAAATACTTCTATCTTTCACGCGCCAAAGTGTTGTCATTCTGTAAAATGTAAGATATTTGTTTTTCTAATCTAATCTAATTTTGCTGAGCGACAAAAAAACTATGTAAAAGCTAAAAACGCATTTCTTAATATTTTTTCTACTCTTTAATTTCTTTCGTTTAAATAAAAAGACATTTGAATCGTAAGATGTCTCATTAGGAATATTAAATATTTTTATGGAATTAAACTAACTGAATTCATTAATATCCTTACATATATATTTTTTTTCTTTTTTACTTCCTTGTACGAAGTAAAAGGAAGTATTGTAATCGCGAAAAGTTTCAGGCAGCATATTTCAACGAAAATATCTAATTTGACCTCTATGGAATGAAATTTAACGATGTTTTTGCGAGATATATGTACGTAAGGAAAGAATAAAAGACTCTTTTCCTCCCAAAAAATTATAAAACTGCATTAAAATGAATTATGAAGATAATTTTTCGTGGCGTCTCTACGAACGTATGTACTACGTACGTATCTCGCATAACTCAAAAACGAGTAGCTTCAAGAACGTTGAAATTTTGTATATAGGACTGCTAATACACGTAGATGTGCACCTCGTATTTTGGTTGCAATCGGCCGCACCAACGCAAATCTAGAGAAACTTATCTTCGAAACAACAAAGATAAATATATTTATATATAATCCATTCTGTTACCCGGCTCAGTGATCTCAGTTTCTTTACTCTTATATGTTTGTAAATTGTACATTTTTTGCTTTAAAAATGATTGAATTATGTTGTTCTTATCTTCCGGTTAAGGTTTTTATGCCTTTAGTAAATCTGTATGAAATATTTTTAGAATTATCAACAATTTTAAAGTTGTTTAAGTGCCGCTAAGCCTAATAATGTTTTTTATGGCGGCCATTGCTTGTTTACATTTGAAACAGCAGACTAGTGGATTTGTTGCAAATCTAGAGAAACTTATCTTCGAAACAACAAAGATAACGCCCTCATTTATTATTGCGAATTAAATCATGCTTAATCCTTTCTGGAATTTTTTCTAGGAAATAAGTGTTTAAGATTTACTTCGTAATTTTTAATGCAGATATTTTGAGTTTTTATGTATTTTTGCCTTGTCGCGAAGTGAGAACTGAATTAATTGAATGAGAAATACTCAATCATCTGTGAAAAACTGTTTCTTTTTTGTTTTGTTTGTTTAATTTCTTTTATACATCGTTTTAGCTTTATTATAGTATTGGAATAGAACATGTGGAAACGATTAGATAATTCTTTAAATGATATAAATTTTGTGCATTCTGAGTTATATTATGAACGAAATATAATACTGTTAAGTGAACCTAGCTCCAGAGTGTCGCTATGGTAAACAAATAGAGTGAATTTTAAAGAATGCATTTATTCTATTGTGGTTTATGCGCTGTCGATGAAGTAGATTTAATTCAATCCAGTAAGTTTAAATGAAATGGAAGAAAAAATGCGTATAATTTAATATTCCGTACATGGAAGTCATGTGGTGTACACATCAGATTTTTATGATAACCGTTTTAAGCGGCTGGCCGAGCAAACGGCTAGTAATTTTAAGGAAATAATATAGCGAATATAACAGAAAGGTATGGAAACACATTATCGGTAATTGTAGCGATGTTTAATAATAAAGTTAAGAAGACAAAAGTTTGTGTTACCAGGAATGAGTCTATAAGTAGACTGGTAAACTGCGAACTAAACGAAAACGTGAAAATTTAACAAACACTCTGGCGCGACTTCTGAAATCTGAAGAAAATCTGAAAATTCCAATTTCAGATATTCTTTGTTCTTTTCTAATTTTCACGGAACTTGAATTTTCTTTCAATATATAAATTTGAAAATAATAATAATAATAATAATAAATTGCTGGTGCTGAAAACTACATCGGTATTGATACAAGCTATGGTTTCAAAGAGATAATCGTATAATTATTCTTGAAGAATAGGGAGAAATCAACAGTTTATTGTAATTAATAACACTAAAAAGAACAGATAACTCTCTAACTCTTTGAATTGTGAACTAGACAGCTTTTCGAAAAGCACAATTTGGATAGTTCACTCAGCTAGCTCTCTGAATTCAACTAACTGCTTGAAGCTCTGTCTTTGAAATAAAGCAGGAGCGATCTGAACTACTAGCTGTCCGAGATGTATTTATAGATCTGAGCGGCCTTCTGGAAATTTCAGGAAAACTTTCTTATACGAATTGGAAATTGCATTTAAATTTCCTGAATATCCCCAGATTACCAAAATCAATGATGGTTGAGGCATGTCGGTAGATTTCTGCTGATATGCTGTTAATCTCTAACTGATCTGTATTCCTTATTATGTTACACAGTGTGAGGTTTATATATTTGTTTTTAACTAATAGTTAATTTTAAGCTGAAACAGTTTACTATCACTCTCTTTTTACCCACGTCTTTCATACCAGAATTTAAATGAGACAGCGAGAATTTATTCAGATTAAAGCAGACAGAAGTGTTATTTAAGCAAGAGTTTCGGAAGTTAGTTTTACAGCGTGTCTGCCTATTCCAGGCCAACTTTGTGCTGTGATTATTAGCGATTTGATTTAGTGGCGTTGAGTGCTTCTAGCCATTTAGCTTTATTTGAATCATATTTGAATATTGGGTATGATATATATTACTGATGATATGTGGAGCTGCCTTTATTTTTAATTTGCTTTAATAAAAAATCAGCAGCAATCATGAATCCATTTGAAAAACCTTTCTTTAGATTCTTGGAACTGTGTTCTAAGATTCTTGTCTTAGATGTTAATAACTTGATCTATTTTTATTGCGGTCATTTAAATG